TTATTCACTTTTTACTTCAGAGCCAGAGTAAACTTGAGTCAGGAGTACATTCTGCCAACGTTTCTGTTTCATCATGTGTTTAAGGTCCAGTCATTCATTCATATATACATAGTTGGGGAACCAAAGTATTGAAAAGCCACATGCTTATTTGCTTTTTTGGTCTCTCCTTATTTATTAATTGTTTAATTAATAAGCTTGTGCCAACAAATCCAACTTCAGTCATCAAACATGTGATATGCTGTATGTGAATGCCTGGTAGCGTGTGTTATATTTATTATTTTAAAAACCCATACTATAATAGTAATAATTGGAATAAAAGAGGTAAGTACAGTCTTTACCCAACACTTTTTATTGATAATACTATAAAACTATTTTTTACTATTGTAAAAAATAGTTTACAATAAAACTATTGTAGCAGAAAATGACTTTAGCTAAAAGACATGACATGAGTTCAAGTCCAAATGACATAGAGGTAGTTGATTACTTTCATTATAAACAGCAGCTTTTTTTAAAAATTCATATTAGTAAAATACAGTCAGAGTACTTTAACTTTAACTTTGTTTTCTTTTTACCTTAACTTGTACATAAATGGAGGACTATGACTTCAGCTGTTCAAAAGAATAGTCTGTTGGGTGACTAAATGAAGAACTTGTTGCTACCCAACCTCCCCTGCAGGTGGTTCTATGACCAATTTTGATGGTAAAACATTTTTCCTACAAAACAAGGTAAAAAATAGCTCTAATAAGCAATTTTCTGTTTGATAAATTTACTATGGTTACTTCTGAACCAATTACTGACATCTGTCTGTGGTTGACGGTATTGATAGCTTACTAAAGAGAGTGCCATTATTCACAAGTTCATTATAATTTTGCCCTTAACACCAACCTTTTCACCTAAAAATAAGGGTCAAATTTTTGTTTTTGTGGATAAAGGTACATTTTATTTTAGGAATTGTTTTTCAAAATTGATTTATTGTTCAGATAAATGCTATACCTCTGACCAATCAGTCCTTTGATAAAGTCTGTAAAAGAATTATTCTGCAGCTATAACTTAACCAAGTTACATGAAAATAAGAACATAAACGTTCACTTTCAGTTGTATCTCCTCTAAACCCACATCAGCCATGTCCTTTCTATATCCGATTGGACATCATCCTGGTGTTGAGTCTCCTAAAAAATGACCTGCTTTTGGACAGTTTAAGCTTTGACTTCCGATCCTTCTTCTGGTAAAATCTGTCCCAGCTGTCCTCCTCCTCGTCCTCATCTCCCACCCAAGGGACCCATGCCCCTCCATTCAGTTGGGGGTCAGCCTGAGGGTCCTCTGATGGATATCTGACAGGAACTGCGGTGCGGTTGTAGTACACAAGCCTGGCCAAAAGTTCCTTGACAACATCCGGCCTCTGCTCAGAAAGGTCTAAACGTTCAAAGGGGTCTCCAGATATGTTGAAAAGCCACAGTGATTTGCGAGGCTGAGTGTGACGCTCTAGATTCCACCAGCTATTGGGAAATCCTGGAAGAACGGGTGCTGGGGTCCAGTCTCCATAACCAGGGTCTCCCGTCAGGAGTTTCCAGTCCCCAGCTCGTATTGAAGCCTGAATGGCTGTATCCCAAATGCCATATCCTTTCTGTAGGGAGCCACAGCGTGCACGGTTATACAGCGGGTCTATGTTGTGGAGGATCTCAAACCTGGGTGACTCTTTACCCTCACTGATAGTCTGCCAAACGTCATAACCGTCCACCCCTTTAGTATGAGACTCATTCCCACCTGCTAAACCGACCAGTGTGGGGTACCAATCAGTGATGTGGACCAAAGCTTTGCTGACCCTCCTCTTCCTCCTCAGCAGAGGACTATGGACGAAGCCCAGACCCCGGACACCACCTTCCCAGTAGGTGCCTTTCCGTCCTCTGAGAGGCCAGTTGTTGCCACCAGACAAGGGTTGTCCTCCGTTGTCAGTGGAAAAGATAATGACACTGTTCTGGTAGTAACCATACTTTCGAAGAGCATATGTTATATTACGTACTGCCTCATCTACAACCGAGACCATAGCTGCATACCTCCTTCGGGCCACATTTTCCAACCCGCGGTATGGGTAGATGTACTCCTGGGGGGACTGCAGAGGTGTGTGAACCGCCTGGAAAGAAAGGAAGATGAACAGAGGCTGGTTCTGGGGATCATGGGTTGCCAGGATCCTGCGTACTCTGTGTGTGTACAACCGAGTGGAGTATTTTCCCTTCTTGTCCCAAGCAACTGACTCCCCCTCGTGGAGATCAAAGCCACACATTCCAGGGCCGTCACAGGAGTCGTAGGTATAATAGTTCACACTGCCCGTTAGGGAGCCAAAGTACGTGTCGAAGCCCCGTCGAGTGGGAAGACACTCCTTCTTGTAAAATCCCAGATGCCATTTGCCAACCATGTGGGTAGAGTAGCCAAGCTCCTGCAGCCGCTGGGGGAGGGTGACCTGGTCAAAAGGCAGGCAGTTTGGCTGGCGAGGCCGGATGATGGAGTGCTGCAGACCAGTATGAATTTGGTATCTGGAAAGTAAACAATGTAAATACTGTCACAGGGATGAAAGGATTATCAACAGTCCAATCTGTCAGGATTGTTAGACTCAATTCTAAAGATAATATGGTCCCTCTTGTTGTTGTTGTTTTATGATTAATATACATCATTTTATATATTTATGTATATGTGTATATATATGTATATATATATATAATGTATATATACAATTCTCCTTAAATCAGTGGACCTTGGACCTTAAGAGTCATGTAAATGCACAGTAGCTATTATAACGTACATCTTATCAGGGAAATAGTTTTACTTTACCTGCCAGTGATGAATTGACTCCTGGATGGAGTACAGATGGGTTGGATGTAGTAATTCTCAAGCTTCACTCCATCTGCGGCTAGTTTATCCAACACCGGTGTTTTGATGTCAGAGCTGTGATAGCCGATGTCATTAAATCCCTGATCATCTGTCATGATAAAAATGATGTGAGGAGGCTGATGACTCTGAGGCCTATCACCAAAAATCTGATCCGGCTCATTTTCCACCTGGTTAGGACTCATCAGATCCCACGTCAGGTACCCGAGGCTGAGAAGACTCATCATAGAGAAACCCGTCAGCGCTGTTGTTGCCATGGTGACACCCTATTTCACACTGGTCTGACTCAAATATAATTTTATCAAATACATATAGAGTACATCTTAGAATAAAAAGGGAATTAATTACTAGGCAGGTTACACAATCCTGTATCTTTTTCAGAAAGTACTACACTTTCATTCTGACTCTGCTACTGCCTGAGCCTCTTTGGAAAGGATTTCACTGCCCCTGGCTGGTTCGATTAACTCCGCCCATTTGCCTCACTGAAAAAACTCCAACCCCCACCGCCTTAACCACCTAAAAACACACAGAAATCTTATACTACATCCAGGTGTTTCAGTGTTAATGGTACAGCTTTCAGGAGTATACACTCATATTTTTGCTGAAACTGGTTGTGTGAAGTACAATAAACATGTGACAGCTGTAGTTTCTGCAGCATTAGTGTGAAAACAATAATAAAATGAATCAGCTTTTCAACAGTTCCCCATCGTGGACCGCAGCTATTTATTCTTCTTTTTTTTTTCATTATGTGACTTCAGGGAACCACTTTGCAAATTACTAGAAAGCAAGAAAAAAATGATTCCCATTTGACCTGGTTTGGCTGTGAGTTGCTACATAAAGACCCCCACTCAGAAAAGCATGGAGTAAGGGGGAGATGTGAGATTCAGGGTAGTTGTGGGGCCCAGCACAATCACAGACACTGTTTCCCACTCCACGTCACTTCACTCACAAGCACCATATTACTTCTTTTTTTTTTTTTCTTTTTTTTTTTCTGTTTTACGAGGGTTCAGACCGAAGGTGAACAACAGCCAGACTTTCTTGACCCTGATAGCATCACCAACCAGGCGTCAATG